AAGGGGGGGGGGGATTGAAGTGTTTGGCATTGAAGTGAATGGTGTATGGTGTGAATCTTGCCTTTGTGGCAATGCCCTTGAGTTAGCCAGTGAGGCATTGAATGGTGCATTGTGGATGTGCAGTTATCTCCAAGGCTTCCCTTTCAGTGTTATTAGAAAACACATGACGGCAATGCTAGCTCTCATCGAACAGAACGCTTCAAGGCTGTTGAGACAAGGCTGAGAGGCAAACCTGCAGGAGGTAAGTGAAATGGCAGCATTTGACACCCCGTCATTCTCTCAGCATTTGGGCGTACAGCCACTATGGTAAGACATTACAATGCATGCATGCAATCATTGAGTACACATGCAACATGTATAAATGATGATCACTATGTAGTATGTAACTGTTTACTGTATATGCTAGAGATATCCACAGCTGATCCTAAGAATTGGTACCTTGTTGTAACAAACCATTTGGCAGAGTTAGGTTAGAATTTTACAACCCCAGGTGGTTTGCCTTTGCGAGGGTGACACAAGGGGTATTCAGTTGGTTGCAATTTGCAACCTCATCCCTAGATGCCACTAAATCCTCCATACTGGACCCTCAAGACAGTTGGGCACTACAGTGAGTCTTTGAATCAAGTAGTTTGTGAAAAATAAAGTGTAGGCTACAGCTATTATTTGAATGTGCCAGATAGATCTTTTATCAACATTGTCTATCTTTTGCTGTTTTATGTGTATAAGTATTTTTATGTATACTGATGATAGATAGATACTTTATTTATCCAGAGGGAAATTCTGAGCAACTGAGCATCTTTGGCACAAAAATGTATTTTGGGATAATCAAGTCCTGCCTTATCTCATTTTCAGGTTGTTGCTTATGTGTATACAGGCCAGAGCCGCTGTGTCATTTAGTATCAGATGGGACTCTGCAGATACCCAGTATTAAAGGACTCGGATCAGGATCAGGGCCAAAAAAAACTTGATCAGGACATCCCAGGTTAATGCTGATTCTAAATAAAAGGAATCACATCTAATTACATAAAAATAATTCCACAATACAATAAAGACAAAACTTAATGGAGGAGGAGATGGACCTCAATTAATCTACTATATATATATATATATATATATATATCCACAATCGAATTGAACAAATATGAAGCTGCATCAACAGATTTATAATGAAAGCATTGTTTTTTTACTGGAGCAAACAAAAGGATTTTGTTCCAATCAATCCTACCTCTCCTGGGAATATCATGTACAAAAGCTTATCTATTGACCAGATTCCAAAGTCTCAATATCCCATAGACAAAAAAAAAAACACAATAGCTATTTGATTACAACTGTAGTTCTGTCCAACCAGGACTCTCATTCATTTGTCAGTGTTTACTTCTAAGCATAATCTATTTTCTGTGCATAACATTCCCAATACTTTCCCCGTATTTGATTTTGTAGCTTTCACTGTAGACAATATTTCCTGCCTCGATTGGCTGCCAGTGAGCTTTGTTCCCTCTTAATGTGGAGAAAAATGATGGGAGAGGGGGTTGGTGGGTTAGATAGAGAAATGGGTTCCCTTTCAATAATGCAATAGTGAAACTGGGCAATATGACCACCATGCGATCTCCTACAGAATAGAAACAACGGTGAATACCAGCCCAGCTGTGCTCGTGAATTCATCTCATGTGAAATGTCAGTTAAATCAAAGCCGGAGCTTGAGAAAGAGTCTGGCAGTCATCTTTTTTTTGGGATAAATAAAACATGGCAGAGATGACTCTGTTGCCCTTTCTTCCTCTCTCACTCTGTTTCTATCTTGAGTTTTTCACTTATGCCATGCTTGAGCCAAGATGCGTTTTAAGCAGCAGGAGGTACAATAGCTACAATGGGCTGCAGCTCCGAGCCTCGGTCACTAAGGGCTTGTCAAATCTAATTAAATTAAAAGCCAAATTATGTTCCTAAATTTAAATGAAACTTTGTATTTTGCTAGCATCTTGCAGTGCTGCTGCATTGTTGAAACTACCATGCTTTTCCTCGGCACTCTGCATGACATTCAGGTTGCAGAAAGGTTAGAGGGGCAGTCATCCTACCTAACCTACCCTACTGTACGATGATCTAAGGTCAATCGGACATCTGTCATGGAGCACGATAGCCCGGTGCTTCTCCTCCTGTTTTGCATGTGGATAGAGTGGTGGCTTGCTCCAGGCTGACCAGTTACATGGCTTAACAGTGTTATCATGTCAGTGTCAGAGGGCAAAGGTACATTTATTGATTTTACCCTGATAACCTTATAGTACATATACTATTAGGTCCTAACTGATGTTTCAAATCAAGCAGTCTGTCCAATTAGTTTATGCAAGTCAAGCATCCCATTATAAAGGATATGGTTGGCATTATTCTCATTATTTTTCTTACTGTTGAAAAATCCCATGAAAAGACCAAAACCAGCAATGTGTTCTTCCATTGTTCAGTGCTTTCTGACTTCCCTACCCTGTCTGTGTGGCCCAAAGCCCAGTCACTAGGCAATTCAAGATGTAAATCTTTAAAAAAAAAAAAAATTTACTCTAGTAAATGCATTAATCTGCATATGTTTCGGATTATTTTCAGCTGAGGGTTTAAACATTTGGCACCCCAGTGAGTATTAACAGCAGGGTTGACTAAAAATTAAAGGATCATCCAATTAATTGATTAGTTGATCAGCTATGCAGATAATTAGTCGAGTCATTTTTCAAGTAAAAAATGCCAAACATTACCTGCTCCAGCTTCTAAACTGTGAGGATTTGCTGCAGTTGAGCATTTTCTGAAATCACAGATAGCTCTTTTTCAACATGAATGATCCACAAAGAAATTAATTTACAGTGAAGCCTACAAAGCCACGGTTCTTCACACGGATGACTCAAGTTGTGCAGCAACACTCATGTGACTCACTCTACTTAAAACATATCCAAGCACTCGCTCACTCTTTCACTGCCAACACTGCCGCTTCACTGATCACTCTGCAACACATCTGCTATGTTCTTCGCTCATTATTTCGACATTTCATCGGCCCCATCTCCTCCCTGAATCCACCTGTAGGCACTGATTCGAGGTTTCTCCTCTGGGGTAAGTCTGTTATCGTCACTTTGTGTTCTCTCAGCGTTTTAAATGGTATGCTTGCAGGTGAGTGATAGCCGAGTCCCGTCCTTGCAAGACATAAAAAATACATCTGGATTGCTGAATTACAACCCAGCTTCTAATTGATAATTAAATTACCAGCTGTAGGGGAGTCTATACATGCATGTGGCAAGAGAACAGAATTTTTATTTCAACCATTCTTCATAACTTAGCCCGGCCTGCATGTTTTACATTATTTAGTCGTTTTTTTGTGCAGTCTGCCTTTTCCATTTCATCTCATTTCAGTTCTGCATAAAGTATTTGACTGTTGACATCCATATTATTGCACAACATAAATATTTATTTTACAGCCTGGCAGAGAGCCATCGTAAACACAGGCCCCATTTTAAAACCTGGCAGATGTATAACAACTTATACCTATTCAGCTTGTGAAAACTGCATATTGCACACACAGGCACATTTCACTTTCACGCACTCACAATATTGCTGCTTTTTTTTCTGCCAAGCATAGGTCACTACTTTCAAACATCATGCAACGCTTTACATGGAAATGTAACCCCTGTGGAAAACGGTGGACATGTAAATAGCACATACAGCCAGTTTTGAAAGGGTATACACAACGCCTCTCAGGCCAGCATTAAAAGACTGACAAAAACCCTCCTGATCCCTACATGCAAACTTGCCCTTAAGATAAATATCCTTAATCTAATATTTATGCTATGCAAATTTCCAAGTTGCAGCTAATTTCCAAACTTGGGATGCAGAAATAAAAAACCTTTGGGCTAGTTAACTAATTGAATTGCAAATGCTTCTTTGTTACACTGCCATGCGCTAAATGGATGTCAATAGGTCAGGATACACTCACCAGAGGAAAAAGAAAATATCTCATGATGATCAATTCACTGAAAAAGTGGAATTATTTTTCAACACTACCTATCATCTCAGTCTTCCAGGCTTTTTTTTTTTTTTTTTACAGCACACTTACTTTTGATAAAACTGGTAGTTGGGTATCCCCCACAGGACAACCCATCTTGTATACCCACCGGATCCACTAACCTTTTATTACTATCAAATTTCTGCACGTGCCTGCAAAATTCAAATAAAAAGCATCTTCAGATTTCAAAGCAACCAGTATCAATTAGAAGTTGCCCCTCAAGCAACCACCTCCCTGTAACCGACCTTGGGAGTGCACTGTGAAACAATAGCTGGGGCTTAATTACATTAAGTGAGCAAAATGCGACATAGACCAATTTTCTCTCATTTTACTGATAATTTCTCAAAAGAACAACTTCTCAGTGGACCGATTCACGCGGTTAAAGAGACCTTCACCACATGTGGTGGCTTTAAGCTGTTAAAATGTAAAAAGAAAAATGAAACGCACTAATTACTCGCACAGCAGGCTATGGGTACGATATGGAACAGATATGCACACTGGCAAAGGCCAACAGAGCGGCATCATCTTAGAGTAAGGCTGAACAAAACTGCTCTCCAAACTGATTTTGAATTTCTAATCAGCTTAATTGCAGTGCGTTAAAAGGAACCCGACTCAGTTTAAACCTTTAAAAAACGCTCATCTTCTAAAATACCCCCCCTCACACAAACACACACACACACACACACACACACCGGTCAAACAGCGCTCAGCCAGCGCGTGGCGTATTATCAATTCAAACTTAATTCAAATGCAAGCTGAAAAAATATCTCACTTTTTCACACACAAACACTTCACACCTGCGTTGGTGTATCACTTTTCAGAAGCCAAACTAAAACCACAGCTCCAAACGCTGTCTGTGGAGGCACACACATCTTTTTTTATTTTTTTATTTTTTAGTTTATTCTGGAGGATTGAGACCCCTCCATGCGGGTAAAAACCCATTCAGCTCATCAAACAGTATATCTGTGCTTACCTCTTGCTAAGGTGGTCGGGACTTGCGAACCGAGAAGCACGAGGATGCCAAAACTCAAGTAGCATCCTCCCGAAAACTGTCCCATCACTGCTCTGCTCGTCTCCCTCCCCGTCGGGTCTGGGGCCACCGGCCGCGGGTCTCGAACATTTGTCGTCCGCTCGAGGCGCCTCTACACGCGACTCCGAGCCCCGACGACCGCTCTGTCCCAGGTGTTTGGGGCTAGTTTAGTGTCCGCCAGGAAAGGAGCCGTCACCTCACAGAATCGCAGTGCGGAGGGAAGAGATGGAAAGTGGTGCGGAGCTTTCAGCAGTCGGCACTCTTCTGCGCGAGAGTGGAATAATTACAGAGCGCGCGCGAGGCAACAGCTTTTGGGGGGTTTTCGAAAGGAGAGAGGGAGGGAGGGAGAGAGAGAGAGAGGGAGGGATAGAGACGTAAAGAGAGAGTGACAGAGGTCTTGTTCAAACCTCCGTGGACCTGTTGAGAAATTATTGCGTGTGTGCACGTGGGCACACGCGCGGGTGTTTGTGCGCGCGCCTGTGATGATCAGATGAAAGAAAACAAGGTCTTTCAATTATCTCTCTCTCTCTCTCTCTCTCTCTCTCTCTCTCTCTCTACTTTTTTAAAACCCGTTTTCAGCTGCACCCAAGCCTGTTTTCTGGACACCAGTTATGGTCAGTGAAATCGACACCATTCCCTTGGAGCTCTTGCCGGTGGCGTTGTCTGGAAAATTACCTTTTTACTAATTAATGCTTATCTGCAGCCTATGAACATATGGCCTCTGATTTGTGTCCAATTGGCAGTTAAGCAGGCAGTAGCTAAACTAAATTAGGCTACTTCTTTCCAAATGTCCTTTTTTCCCCAAATTATTTCATGCATCTGTTTATAGCAAAATGTATATTTAGTGTTCTAACATTATTCTAAATTCTAACATATTAATTATATTGGTGTAAGAATCATTAAGTAAAAGTAGCACTCCATTACAAGTATGAATTCAAAAAAGTACTTTTAAAAGTAAAAGTACCGACTACTTTTACTTTTATTCAGTTTACTGTCTAACAATGTATCATATTTTATTAGACTCATCAAGTTTGTAACTATATATATTGACTGCTGTCAAAGAAATGTAGTAAAAAATGCAACATTTAATGGTATTTGGAAGTATTAAGTTGCATAATTAAAATACTTTCGAATTCTACTCAAGTACAGATACTGAGTATAAGTACTTATTGTAGTGACTTTGCATTTGGGTAGTTTAATCAACAACAATGCACGGTATTATATGTTTGGAAAGAACATTTTATTCTGAAGGGTCACTTATAGCTGTCAGATGAATGTGGAGTAAAAAGTACAGTATTTACATAAGAAATGTAATGTCAAGTAATGTAAGTACTCCAGTAAAGTACCTCAAAACTGTCCTTAAGGACAGTACTTAACTCCACCACTATGAGCTGCTGTTCTCGCTTACTATGACAGTATTGCCATCAATCGCTCTGTTATCAACTGCTGTGGAAATATATGAGATAATACAGCTTTCTAATAATAGTATAACAGTATCCACTTCCACAGAATCATTCCACACTCGCTTATCAGAACATGATAGGATATCCCATTCAAAGTGTGTGTGTGTCAATGTTTGTTTTTTATGTAAATCACTGAAGTTTGACCTTCTCTGACATAATTACCCTATTGACCAGAAATTCAGTGGTTCATTTCCCAGAGTTCTTGCCTGGGGTCAGCCTGTCAGGCAAGGTTAACTGCTTGATAATATTTCTAAAGGGAGCCATAAACTGTGCATTAAATATTTGGGACGTCCTTAAGGCTATTGAGCTACCTGACAGACCGAAAACAATAAGAAACAAGCCAAAATGCTGTTCTTTTGTTAAATGGACATGTCGGTTTTATTATTTGTGAAAACATCAAAGGTTGCAAAATGACAACACTTACTTGCTAGTACTGTACTGAACTCTAATCCTTCCATCTTGAACTGACTGATCATGCCATGAGATGACAGAAGCAGCCGGAAAACATTCTTAACTTGTCTTTTATGTGTGTTTGTGTTTGTGTGTGTGTGTGTGTGTGTGTGTGTGTGTGTGTGTGTGTGTGTGTGATAAAAACCACGGGCTGCTGATTAACAATGAAATAAGAGTAACTGAATGCTCCTGGGCAGCTCTATAGTGCCCGACACTGAGCTATCCTAATGGGAATTGAAGTGCTCCACTGTGGGAAATAATGTTGTGGGTCATATTAGTGTGGGGCTGCTAAAACTGCCGCATTTGTCTATAGCTAATGAACCCACAGGACCAAGACATTTTGGCTACAGAATAGGGAAGTTCCTGTAAGGTTCAGATAAGTGTCACTGCAATCCAAAACAACAAAAAGCTCATCACGAAATAAATAAATAAGTAATACCCTTTCCCATGGAGACAAGATGAAAGCGTGTTTTCAGCCTTTAAAGATTTATTTGTTCCATCCAGTGTACAAAGCAGGCAGGTCCAAACAGTCACACTTTACTGTGGTGGATTTTTGTTATTTCTAAATCAAGACTCCTTAATTTATTTGTAAAACAATGTCTTTGGGCTATCTAGTCTCAAGTTAGTAATGGTGGCAATTGTGGAGAATATTTTCATGGTGCAGTTAAAAATGAATTCACAACTAATAAAAACATGCTACTGTATGTGCAGAAAAAAAGGTGTCCTTGTTTGACAAGAGTGAGAAACAAGCAAGGTTTGCACCTTGTATTAAATAAATACGACGCAGGGAAATATCATGCAAATACATTGTAACAGACATGTTTACCTACAGATACATGCCAGCAGTGTTTCTATAAGGCAGGAAGCACCGCATTATTCATCGCTGTCTACATTTTCTTGCTTCATCCATCTGACGGAAGGGATACCTAGTGCGAGTGCTTGCATAAAATTCTCTGATGTAAATGTGCAAAACAAGCAGTTTCTTGCTCTTACCACATAAAGCATTTAAAAGAACAAGGCAAAAGGTTCATTGCCACCGAGCTGCTGCAGCATCAGCTCACAACAGCAATGAGTGACAGGCACAAATAATCCACCTTATTGTCTTCTGTATATTGAATTTGGTGTGTATTACGGAACTCCTTAAATTTCCCTCACTGTGTGTTGCCAGCATGTGTATGTTTGTTGGATTTTAGTAGAAGTTTTACATTCTTCTCACAACTTTGGAGGGCCTCGGCAGAGGAACAGTGAATGTCACTCATTTACTCAGTCAACCGAATCTGTCTTTCAAAAAAACAAAAGCCCTGCCTATGAGAATGATATTGTTTTTAATATGCAACGTTTTGCTGAGTCTGCATCTCTTTTGCAGCATCACCCTCATACTTCACAATCACGGTGATACCAAAAAGTCAGACCTGGTTCGAATTTATCGCTTTTCTTTTGCAGAAAAACTCCACTGCAGCAAGTGAAGGTTAAAGGTACCTTGTTGAGTGTTTGGCCACCAGTACTGTGGAGCAACGCTTTAACTTTTTATTATTTCATTGTACTTTCCGTTTCTCTGTAGAGCACCTTGGTCAACATGTGCCCTATAAATAAATTGACTTGACTTGACATTCACCGGCAGGAATCAAATGCCAAAGTTTCAGTTCCTGTTCAAATGCAGGAATCAGAATCAGGTTTATTTCCAAGTAGGTTTCCACATACAAGGGATTTGCCTTGGTAAGATGGTGCATTACAATAAACATGGAGTAATATAAATAAAGATAAAAATGGAGGTAATATATACAATATAACATAAAATAACCGTTATTCACATTAACAATTGTTATTTACAAGTAGTGTTCCCATCATGTAGATGGGTGGATGTCTGTCTCTCATGCAGAAGACTAGAGTTCTGCAGTCCTGTCACAGATCTGTGATTATCATTTCCATTTTTATTAACCATAACCACGATCTTTCCATAAGCCATAACACCATATTATAAGAAAAAGTTCCACAGTTTGGGAAATTCGCTTATCTGCTTTCTCACCGAGAGTTTGAGGAGTTATCTGTATGCTAATTTGAAGTTACAGCCAGCAGCAGGCCAACTTAGCTTAGCATAAAGACTGTAAAGGAAACAGCTAGCACTGCCCAAAGCTAACAAGATCTACCTACCAGCACCTGTAAATTTCACTAATTAACATGTTACAGTGTCTCTTCAATTGAATCCATACAAAAAACATACACAAATTGATGAAATTGATTGATTAGCAATGACACTCATTATTTTTCCATTACATTTTTTGTAACAAAGCCTTTCCAGTGAACATGCACAATAGCAGCACCCTGACTCTATTTGACCTGAATGGAACAGAACCCGCTGGTAACACCTGTGTTTACCCTACTAATTCATGTCAAAATGGCTGCTGGGAAAAAATTCTATTAGCCGTTTTAAATGAAGTTATGTGCCAGATGGTAACTTTACATTCAGAATACAGATATAAGAGTGGAGTGTTATTGCGCTTCTCATCTAACTGTCAGTAACTAAATAATACTTTAAGATGCCACACTTTTCCTTTAACCATAGTTTATTTGCTATAGATAGATATTGCAGAAAGTAAGAATTTAAAATGCAGGCTACAGAATATATTTATGTATATATATATATATGTGTATGTTCTTGTTTGACAATAGAACTGGCCTGGACCCATACTGTACTGTATGTATGTGCAGGAGCAAGAAGGTGATGTGATTCACTGCAGACTAAAGAGGGTAGTAGATGTTGGTGGTAATGTGCTGTAAAAGATAAGAGTATGTCAATATAAGAGGAAAAGAAGAAGGCCGCAGCTTTGCAAATCTTTTATGAAGTCAGAAATGCATTCCACATATTTTCGTGTTTTGGTGAGTGATGTTGAATACAAATTTATAATGAAAACCCCTCAAGCTACCTTTGAGTGCATAATTTGAAACGTTGTTAAAGGATGATAGACAGTTACTCATCGACCCTCCTGTTCTGCTAACCTGGAGTTTTGAACCAGCAACCCCCCAGTCATAAGCCCAGAAGTCCAACATTCCTGGGGCTCAGCAATATTGTAATGCTTGTTCAATATACGACAACACGTGTATGCTGATACTGAAATAATTGGCTTCACTTTTCAATTCACCATTGTTCTTTGTTGTTCAGGGGCTATATAGGATGTGAATCACCAAAAGGTGCAATTAAGTGACGAAAGACAAGAAAGAAAATCAATGTATTGGGTGTATTTTTCTATCTAATGGAATAGTATAGTGCTCACTATTCATATATCAGTCACCATGCAATCAATAATGGAATAGCTTAAACAAAAGTATAGAATTATTTATTAACCAAAATACTCATATAGTGCATTTTTACCTTAAGGAAATCTTGCATGTCATTCTTTATGTTCGGGCTAAGTAACTCCACCATATTCCAGTTTCTTAGTTGAATACAAGACACAGTTATTAAGTATTTAATATATTAAAAGCCAGATGAAAAATGTGCATCTT